GAACTCGGGAATAAGGGATAATCCTTATATCACTTCTCCATTTAGGAAGACTGTGTGACTATCCAGAGGAGAGAGAGTCCACATCTCAAATGAAGTACTTTGATGACCTTAGTCAGAAATTTTCACATTACCATCTACTTTCTTGTGTTATAGATCAAAAACCTGATGGAGCAAAACCTAGGAAATGAAATACTATTTGCTGTAGAAAATACCTGCTTGCAAGGAATTTACTTCGCCATACATCACACTGTATTGACATACGTTCTAACTGTTCAGAAAGCTGAGCTGTGTTTCGACCTAGGGCTTCATTTTCTAAAATAAGCTGATTTTTCTCACGGGCTAGACGTTCAAAGTGATACTGAAGATCATCCCCAACAGAAGCCACCAGTAACTTTTTTAACTCACGATTTACCTAGAAGAGAACATAATCAATACAACAAGCTCAAAGTAATATCACTAACTTTAATGTAACAAAATTAACAAAAAGAGACTGTGTTTCTGTGTAATTTTGGACCTCCGTGACTTAAAGTCTCTATCAAAAAGTAAAATTAAATATTTAAGTTCTGTACGATATACAAACCATATCTCTCCACTACTCTCTATACATCTATATCCACAGTCCATGTGGTAATAAACTGAGCTTCTTGTAATAAGAGTAAAAATCATTATGAAAATAACAAATAGTTCCAGTCAACACTTAAAGGAAAAAAAATTAAAACAAAACCAATACATTTTGATAAAAAACATGACTTAGAATGTCTTATGTTTTTTATTCAATATGTATAAGTTAGTCTATTGCATCCTAAGAAATTACTTTTAAAAAATAAAGCAAAGGAAGTAATCCAGTATGTTTCTAAGTATGTTCTTTACATCATTATTGAAAACAGCAAAAAATCAAAACAGATATCCAATAATGGGTATTGGTATATGGTATAGCTATTGAAGAACACTGTTGCTATTAATAATGACATTGTAATAGAATATTCTGTGACATGGCAGAACATTAATAACTGAAAAAAGTGGGTTATAACACTAAGTGAACTCAATGTATATGGTTATGCAGGTATAGCTGGATGAAATGATTCAGGTGGCACTATTTTCATTGTGTTTTTCTGTATTTTCTAAAATTTTTACAACATAAATTTGTACTACATTTTGTAATGAGAAACTAGTTATTTAAAAATTATTTGGATAAAAACCACTAACCATGGTCTCACTTATGAAGACGACTTGTATCTAGCCAAAAGACGTATGGTCTAATAGAGAAACAAGAGAAGGGGCAAGGCAATTTTTACTAAGATACAAAGATTAAAGCAACACCCTTAAGCAATACAGATTTTTTTCATTTACAATGAAGACACAGTAAGTTATACCACCTTTCTCTTTATTCCAAGTATCCTGTACACACAGGCAAAAATACTTGAAACTTATGGATCCTTAAAACAAGGACTGCTGGTCAATTACTACGCCTGACTTGGTCAATATTTGGTCTGGCAGTTTATAATTGTAACCTACTTTTGTAACTTATTGGTGGTCTTGTCCAAAGCACCTCACACCTCCATCTTCAATGAGGTTTAGAGTATAAGTTCCCAATATAAAGTATCTCTAGAGAACTGAGAGAGAATGAGAAATTTAAGAGGAAGCGTTTTAGAGAAATGACAAGCTAGGATAAATGACATTCCCATAAAGAAATGTAGTTTTCTAACATGCAGATTCAAAAGGTCCAGACGTAAAGAGTAGCACTCATTATATCAATTAAGGCTGTTCTTACCTCTGTCTGTACACGGAGCTGGTTTGAAAGACCTTCTTTGTCCTGTAGTAACCTTCTTTCAGAATTCTTGAGCTTTTCTAATACATTCTTTACTTCTGAGAGTTCCTTATTAGGTTCTATAACTCCCTCTGACTGACCAAGGAATTCTCCTTTATGATGTCCCAGAGACTTAACCTTTGTGTTTTTGTTGGGGATATCGTGAGTTATAGCAGCTTTGGGAACTAATATTCTTACAGCTTCAACTTCCATTGCTTTTTCAGTGAGCATTTTCCCTAGCTGAAGAACTCCTGGGCTCTCTGATGGAACTGCTTTCTTCCATGGACTCTGAAGACTATGATGCTTTCTAGATTGGACTCCAGAGGTAACTTCAACAGATTTAGGTGGCTCCTCAGTTTCCATTCCATCTCCTGCTCCTCGGATTGGGGATGAAGTAAGGGTGACTAACAAAAAGGAAACAAAACAGAAACTTACCAAGAAGAAATGCCAAGAAAATGCTAAGAAATTTTCTAAGCAAGAAATTGCTAAGAAAATGCTAAACCCTATATTCAAAATTACTCGCACTAAAAAGAATGCAAAAAAAAAAAAAATCAGAGAAAAAGTAATTTTCAAAACAATCATGTATCAACAAAAGGTACATGTTTAAACTTTCCTTCAGTAGACCAGAGATTTGGAATCAGAGTATTTGGTTCTGACTTTTACTTCCTAGTATAACCCCAGGTAAATAATTTAATCTTCCATGAATCTCTATTTCCTAATTTGCAAACTAGAGATGATAACAACTTTGCTATAGAATTTTGGTAAGAAAAAATGTAATAAGATCAAATGCTTGGCATACTGTAGACACTCAATAATGTTAGTTAAAAATAAATGTTAGCTATATATATGCACATTTGAAACCATCTACATCATAAGAGGTTCATCTGTTTTTGTGAACTCTTGTAGTAAGAGGAAGCAACATATATGTTACACTGAAAAATGTATTAAGAAAAGATTCAATCCTATTCTTAGGCCTAACAGTTTATGCCCTGCTTACAGAAGTGAAACTACACTGAATTGTCAGATTAAACATCCTTATACCTCACTTTCACCGTATCATACCCAGTTATTTTATTGTTCTCTCATTCCATCTAGTGGCTTTCAATTTGAGTGCACTGTATTCCCAAAAAAGTGCCTTGCATGTAGTATTCATATATATATGTTTTTTATATATATATATATGTTATAAACAAATGAATGATAACAAGGGGAGGGACAAAAGAGGAGCACACAGATCAGTGACAATGATTAGAATGATGAACTTTGACTGGTCATGGGCAGCAAACATGGTGCTGGGTACCTAATGTAGGCTAGACATTCTATCAGGTAAGACCACTATGCTTAAGAAATTTACTACCTAATTTAGGGGACAGGACATACATATAAAAAGATAAAATGTATTACACGATAATATATGATAAGTGTGCAATAAGTGGTATAAAAATATTTCAATAGAAATTTTATGTCTATAGAAACATTAAGGACAATCATGAACTACTGATTGGTCTTCAGTGAATTCATCACTGTCCAACCAAACCATATATATATATGTAATAAGATCAAATGCGTGGCATACTATAGACACTCTCTCTCTCTCTATATGTGTGTGTATATATATGTGTGTGTGTATATATATGTGTGTGTAATACAATCTCCTAAAACAAAGACTTAAAACAGAATTCCTTTTATACTTGTAATAAATTTTGTAAGCTTAACATATTTTTTATTTTATGGCTAGAATATAAGTTAATATAGCATTTACTTTCTTATTATTCTACTGTTGAATATTTAGACTCTTTCAAATTTTTCACTATAATAAATAAGACTTTATTGAACACTTTTATGCCTACATATTTTTCTTAACTTCTGAATTATTTTTTCAAATAAATTCCCAAGCATAAAATCAATGGGTTTGTTGAAGATCTGTATGGCCGAAATGCCTCCCAAAATCACTCTACCAGTGTAATCTGTGGATCTATGCCTAATGTCCTTACTATTTATTTATTTGCATGCTCAATGCCTATGACTTATATAGTACTTAAAAATAAATAAGAATACATGTAAACTGTTTAGAATGGTATTTGACACAGTAAGCACTCATTAAATGTTAGGTCCTATTGCTTTTATTATTATTTATATAAACTCCTAATAAACTGTGGATGTTGATCTGGAGAGAAATAAATTTATTTAATGCCATAAAATATAATTCTGACTTTCATTCTCTTATGTAAATCCTAAAGTTATATTGCTAGACTATAGGACTATTTATTCAATTAACAGATTTACTTTTTTCAAATTTTTCCCATGTAGAGATGTTCTGGGAATCTTGAGTTATGTTAATTAGACAGGAGGTGGAAACATATCTGAGGTATAGTTAATATGTTCTATTTTACAAAACATTTTACATTAGAATAAAATAGTGTCATTTCTATATGAAATGTAAGCTAAGTTTAAACACCCCTTGGGCCTTGGGACTGACTCTACTTTTAAAAAGGTAAACAAAGGAGTACTTCAGAAAGTGAAATAAATGCCTAACATGCTGGGTTTGGTAAATTAGTTAAAACAAAGCATGGTAGCACTGACAAAGAGAATTTCCACTGAATCATTTAAAAACAGCTCACTGCAGCCTTGACCTCCTGGGCTCAGATGATCCTCCCACCTCAGCCTCCCAAGTAGCTGGGACTACAGGCATGTGCCACCATGACCAAGTAATTTTTTTTTTTTTTTTTGTAGGGACGGGGTTTTATCATGTTGTCCAGAATGGTCTTGAACTCCTAGGTTCAAGCAATTCTCTGGCCTCAGCCTCCTAAAGTGCTTGGATTACAGGTGTGAGCCATCACACCTAGCCACCTGTATTCTTAAAATCTGATTTTAAATTTGTCTAAACTTAACTAACTTGTCTAATTTTGTCAATAAGACATTCTGGCATTTAAGAAGTAACGTAGAATCATGTATTAACTATAAATTAATAAAAGCCATCAACAATAAAAATACACACTAGAGCCATTGTTCAGGCCCACTGAGGCTGAGGAAATAAAAAACAGGTGTGATACTTCCATTATGGTCAAATACGATTTCTAGGCAAGCTGTAACATTTTTGAGCTGGAATTTTAAGTAACAGAGATACAAGAACAAATTACAAAATGATTAATGTTAAATTTAAAAGGCAAAGAATCATTAATACGTATTTAACAGAAATCTCTTTTTGAACAAAATACCTTGTTGGGAAATCAAGAAGTTCAATCAACTTGTTTCTATTCCAATTTACTCTTAACTTTATTTAAACTGTTCTACTTACTCAAGCATTTATGAATATCAAAGTTGTATTATATATTACATGACCGTTCCTTCTCAGTAATAACTATGATTCTAGCTAATGTGCATAGGTAAGCAGGCAGAAGAGCCAAGGCTTTACATTTTCTCACCTGGTAACTTTCATAATTCTATTTTTCCTTGTGACATATGTAGAAACCTTTATTACATATGCAGTAGGCACAATCCAGGACACATTTATGAATAATTATCGTATCTCAAGTGGGAAGACAAGGACCTATGGTAACAGCTCCATAGTTATGAGTGATGCTTAAGTCAAGAAAAACACCAATCCTTATTCTTCCCCACTATTCGAAGGGAACCAACAAAACAATCCTTAAATTATTCATTATCATTACTTCCACCTGTGATCAATTATCAATGAACTAAAACATGTCTAAGGTTTGCTCATTCGTATTGCCTACCAGGATTGGTGAAATGTACGGCAAGAACAAAGAAGGTCACTAGTCTAACATTCTGGAATGGGAGCTGGCAAACTTTTTTTGTAAAGGACCAAAGAGTAAATATTTTAGGCTTTGTGAACCAAAAGGTAAAATTGAGGATACCATGTAAGTATTTAATAAGAGAAAAAAAATTTATCGATGAAATTCAAACTATAACAACAATAATTGAATACAGTTTTTTGATAACATAGGTCTAATAATGGGAAGAACAGAATTTTTTAAATTCAGGATACTGTTTGGCTTAAATAGTGTTAATGTCCACTATTATCAAACTGATTGCAAATATTCTCAGGAGGCTGAGGGCCACAATTTGCCAACCCGTGCTCTAGAATATTGAGGCAAAAAAAATTTCATAGTCTGTCATTGAACAAATATTTCTCTTTTATTCATAAAACTTCAATCTATGATGAGAGGTACCTAAGTCAGCAGAATGGGGTAGTGAAAAGAACTCTAACTCACTAGAGTCTGAGTTAAAATAACTTAAGTCCCTACTGCCATGTATTGTGTGACCTTGGACAAAGCACTTAACCTCATCCTTCTCCCCTCCCTTGGTGCTTTTAGAGTAATGCAAATATGGTAGTATATATTTCAAAAATAATTTGTTTCTCTTGTAGACTAGACTGTTGGGAGCTCTTCAGGGTATGGACTGCCTCCTAATCTTCGTATCATGAACTAATAAAATGGTGCTTGTCACAGAGAAAATGAATAAATGCTTACTGAAGTTTATTAATCTGTTAATAGACTACCTTGAGTGTTTCATTTTTAACATCCAAAAACTAACCCATTTAAAAACTGCTTTATTTTTTTTCCTCTACCCTAAATCATTAATTCCTAACTTGGATATAGTCTGAAAGACTTTCCAGAACATATACAAATTCAGTTATAAAACAGTTAAAACAAATTAGGGATTCTCATGTGGTAATTTTAAATCAAGAATCTTTTTAAATGTCACTCATCTCACCTAATAAAGTTTAGTTAACTATTATTAAATTAGTAAAATAAGTTACATACAATGGACTTAAGAGTTACATCAAGATTTACTGAACTGGAATCTAAGCATTCTTCTTACCAAGGGCTCTATGGATAGAGTTCTCTGGTCAAATAAGTGTGGGCAATGTTGCATACTGCATCTCTACGGAGTTTCAGTGTACATTAGTATTAAAGTTATACTATAGACTCTTAAGAGGTCCTATAGCCTCTCTTTTAATACAGCATTTCTCGAATTTACCTGCTCATGGAATACCTTTTTTACCTAATACCTATTATTCTACAGAACTAGTGTTAGACTATTTTATGGAATCAAAAATATTTAAATATCTCAGAACTTCCTATTTGGTCTACTATTACTAAACTATTTGACTTCAATAGCTTTATTTTTAATTTTAATCCCACATCCAAGAAAAGCTTTGGATTTTAAGTTTCTAGTTATTACTATTTACTGTATGTTTCCTTTTCAGAAACAGCCCTAGCAGCCATGATACATCCCTCTTATGATGACAGTACTGCTCAAATGTCTTCTGAGAGGAAGTTCTGTTGCTATTACCAAACCAACTGTACTTATCTCCTGAGGCAGTTACAGGAAGTACAGACAACTGACAAATGTCAACCAAGTACACCTTTTCACAGGCCATGCAATACGAGTAACTTTTGTTCACTAACATCAGATGACAGATTAAACAGAAATATGGCTAATAGAATTATTTACCTTACTGGATAATTAAGATCACAAAAAATCATGTTTGTTAAAGTACCTTATAACTCTAATCCTCATTAAAAACAAGTAATAATAAATATTAAAAAGTAACTTAATCTCACTGAGGACTTACCAGTACTTTTAATGACTAATCATAATATCGTATTTAGTTTTTGCTTTTTGACAAGCACCATGTTGGTTGCTTTCACATTAATTATTTAACTGCTCTTATTTCCCATTAATCCACTGTTTATTACTTTCCTTACAGTCTCTGACTTGCTTATCTAATGGTATAAAAGCCTTCTGGTGACTTATGAAATGCTGTTGCACAGTTGAATTAAATTCAATTACATATTTAGGGGCATGATCTTTCTTCCTTGTTTCCTAAACTTATTTCAACCTGCTTTTAGAGAGGGTGTGCTGCTGGAGGTCAGCTTGCTGAAAAACTGGCATCTAGAAAACAGTTTTCCATCTTTCACTGATGGTTCTAGCATGCAGAATTCACCCCATCCAAAAAATAAGCTGGGTCAGGAGAAGTTCACTATGGGACATGTTAAAATTGTTGCCTATAGCTATGTAAGGATGGCCAGTAAGCAGTAGTATGAATCATAAGGAAAGAGATCAGGGATATAGATAGATTTGGAAGTCATTTATATAGATAATTACTGAAGTCATGACAGTAGAAAAGAAACAGTGGTCAAAAGCACTGATACTTAAAAGAAAAATAAGAAGGAGAGGAGGCTGAAAAAGAAACAGAGGAGATACAGCTTCAGCAGTGCTGTCCAACATAATTTTCTTCAGTGATTGAAATAGCCACTAGTCATATTTGCCTATTGACCACTTGAAGTTTGGCAAGTGTCACTGAGAAACTGAATTTTTAATTTTTAGAAAATATTAATTTAAAATCAAATAGCCACATATAATTACTGCATTGGACAGTGAAAGGCTACAGAGTAGGCTGAAAATAAAAGTGACATCATGGAAGTCATCAAAAGAAAGTATCTCAAAAGGCAGGGAATGGTCAACAGTATTAAATATTAGAGAGGACAAACTAGCTAGGACTAAAAAGTGACTACTGTATTTAGCAATTTAGGGGTTGAATTGTGTCCCCCAAATCTTTATATGTTGAAGTACTAACCCCCACTACCTCAGAATGAGACTTCATTTGGAAACAGGATCACTGCAGATGTAATTAGTTAAGATGAAATCATACAGGAGTAGGCTGGGTTCCTTTTTCAATATGACTGCTGTCTTTATAAAAAGGGTAAATTTAGACCAGAAACATGCACACAGGGAGAATGCCATGTGAATATGAAGGCAGAGATAAGGGTGGTACGTCTACAAGACAAGGAGCACCAAAGACTGCCAGCAAGCCACTGGAAGCTAGGAGAGTGTCTCTAATGCCTTCTGAAGGAGCATAGCCTTGTTGACATTTTCATCTTGGACTTCCAGCCTCCAGAACTGAGACAATATATTTTGTTGTTCAAGCCACACAGTTTATGGTACTTTGTTACAGCAACCCCAGCAAACTAATACAACATGAAAGAGATCTTTGATACATCCTAGTTGCTTTGTCTATCTACTTAAATCTTTAAAAATGTATATTCTTATTTAAATCTTAATCTTCTAGCATATAGGGAATATAGCTGTTAAAAACTTTGTATTAACATTAAATGTTTAAGAGCAGCCACCTAATAAATTCTAATTAATGATGTTAAATTTCACTTGTACATCTAAAGTACTGAAATATAAACACTGCACTACACAATAAACACAAAGGGATCTGAAATAACAAATGATTCCCAAGGGCATCCATGAGATCTAGTTATCTGGCTCAAACGTTCCTTCACATCATCATAAATGTCATGTTTTAAAAACAATTATAAAAAAGCCACTTACCTTTGGTTTCTAAATTTTTAGTAGTCATTTTTTCCCCTTAACCACTGAAAATGCACTCCAAGACTTCTACTGAACAACCTAGAAATGTATGCATATGAAATAATTTAAACAATATATAAACACATTCATTGAGTACCTCTAATTTAAAAGTTATGATATTTTAATTGCTTCTGTATTTAGTACACATGCATTTAGAAAGCGAAATGTCTCTTATATCCCTTTCTCCCAGAAGGCATTGTTACATCTACTAAAAGTCTCAAAAAAAAAAAAAAAAATAGGGGTGGTTTACTTCTAAATATTCCGTTTCACCATCCTCACCAATACACTCTAAATTGTCAGAAGTGTGTCCTGAATTTTAGCCAAGCAATGGCAATTAAGTTACTGTGGTGGTTTTTTGTCATCCGTACGACAAGAGGAATTTTAAAGTAATTACTTTCTTAGGAGACATACTGACACAATTCGTATGCACACACAGACACACACACACACATATCAAAAAGGAGCTTCTGTTTAGATGTGTAACGAACGAGAAAAAATATTACTCAAGATAACATAATTCATATTTTTTTGGTAATAAAGTTAAAATAGTGTAGCTCCAAAAGTAAAAAGAGAAACATATATTGAGCGCATGCTTTCAGAAAGGTACACACTGCCTACAGTACAGACTCAGATTTACTAGAAAACATATAAAAAGGTGATGCTACTGCAATGATATAAATATGACAAACTGTACACTAGATGACAACTGGTGTCACTACAAAAAAAGATCGCTCTCAGTACTAGATACAACTCAGTTCAATTAGTGAACCCGACGACTAACTTTCTTAACAGTCACAAACTTTTCTACACTACAGTCTATTGCTCCGAAAAGAGGTATCCAAAAAACCCTTCGTAAGAGTAACGATCCCTGAAACTGCCCTTGATAGTTGCTCTGCGAAACATACAGGCACACCGAGTGCGTGCTGGCAAATGCCAAATGAAGGTGAGGGGGTGAAGAAGTAAGTAGGGGGAGTGAGCAGGTATGAGAGCGATAGGCCGGGAAGCGACAAGTCTGTCAACCTTTGCTGTCCCGGGAAGTCGAAACCGAAGTTCCATTCCTGTCTGAAAAAGCCTTCCCGGAACAACAATAGTTCCCTAAATCCAAAGCTACTGGCCACCAAGCTCCAGCCAGACCTCCGTCCCTTTCCAACATCCTTAGTTATACCTGCTTGTCCTCGGATTTACCTGTAAGATTCTTATTCTCCGTATTTCAGGGGACTTCACTTCATAGGCTCTTCGGATCGGTATCACCAGGCTAACTTCTCACAGACCTCTTCCATTCAGAAGCCGGCCCGCCCAGGCCCTCCACATATCCAGGAGCTCTCTCACTCCTAACCACTTCCGATTACTCAGGGTTTCGCTTCCGGAATACGTTTCCAAAAGAGAAGGGTAAATACATTCTGCAGTGCGTTTAAACTCAAGTAACACAGAACACACACTGTAAGGCCTCCGTAAGTGGAAAGCGGACAGATGTCTACTTTAAAATAAAATACTGTACAGCAACTTTTGGAGCCCAAGCCTCAGATTCACTTAAACTTCCGGGCCAGCTGTTAAACAAACGGAAGTAAAACTGCCGGAAACAGAAAAACGGCGTCTCGTAGCCCCAGGCGACAGCGTGGAGGGGCGGGCCTGTCGATTGGATGAACGCAGCTGAGATTACTCCCAGCCACTAAGGACGAAGAGGTGGGGCGGTGGCGTCCCACGCACCGTGCGACAGTGGGCGGTGCTCTGTTGCCTGAGTAACCGGATGATGGTGTTGGTGGTGGTGTCTTCCTGTCTCAACGATACCTATTTTCTAGTGCTGAGATCCTGAGACAATGGTGAGTGCCAGGGGATGTCAGAATAACGGCTGTGGGTCCTAGCTACTTAGCGTTCCAAGTCTTCGGGCGGATGGGCACTTAAAGTTGTCCTGTCCTCCCGACCTTCTCCTCATTATCTCTTTCCCCCTTCCCATGGGCTGTTACTGCAGTTTACTCGCTCTCCGTATTTCTTACAGCACCCTGAATTCCACTGATGCTACTAAGTCTCTAGAGTAATGAAACAGAAAATTCAGGGTAAGGCATCGAGTCTAATCACCTGTTTTGAACAACATTATGTGTTTTCATTG